CCCGTTTCTTTAACCTAGGTCTAACAACTGGTTTAGACTTAAAGAATTCAGGTTTATATTTTTACGAATCATGCATATTAGTCTGGACCCGTTCGCACTGGCGAACCGGGTAAAATTATTTAAGTCTGAAAATAGCATCATGCATGTTCGAAAATAAACACAAGCATAGTGGAAGTCTGAAATGCGTGGAATTATTTAGTTTACAAACAGTTTAAACAAATGTCCCGGGAACAGCTTTCGTGCGGAACTCACGACCACCACCACCACAGCTTGACTCACGCCTGCCCGCCGACCCTGCCATCTGAAAATATAAAGTGGGGGTGAGTACGGTCCACTTGTACTCCATAAAAACCCATTCTAAAGTAAACAGCAATATTAATAATGATATCACAAACTGGTATATATAAGTAAACTGTAACTCCCGGAACTCTCTGGCCGGTAACTCCCGGAACACTCTGGCCGGTAACCGTGTGCACACTCTGATGGTATAACTAGGGCAAACTGGGCCACCACCAGAACTTAGGGAAGGCAAACTTGGCCTTAACCCAAAGTGGATAAAACTCATATACATACCTGAACGTGATATCGACTATTAAACTCAATGTATAACCCAGACTGGGTCCCCACCTGATCGGTTTTGAAAATGAGTAAGTGCGGCTGTGCTGGTAGCTGACTCCTCAAGCTACATAAAAATATAAGCAAACAAATATACTAAGTACTATGCTCGTCATATGCTCAAAAATATGCTAGGATGCTCTACTCTATCAGATTACTCATCCGGATATAAAGGAACGCTCTAAGGGTTCACAGAAATAATTCTAAGTCCGGAAATAATACTGATATGCTTAACTGATCTGGTTTGGCTCGGAAAAATACTTAAATTTCGGAATAAGACTCGGACCGAAAATCACGAACCAAAACGGACTCGAACCGCCGGCTAAACCGGCCGGTTCGCTAACTGGCTGAACCGGGTCGGGCTGGACCGGACCCGGTTGGACCACCGGGTCACACTGGACCGGTTGGTCACGGGCTGCTCGGACTGGCCGGGCTCGATCCCGTGCCGGGCCTGCTGGGGCCATGGCACGGCGCTGGGCACTAGCTGGGTGCGACCGGGCACGGTACTAGGCGCTGCTGGGCGCGGGCTGTGCGGCTGGCACGGGCCCTGGCACGACTGGTGCCACTAGGTGCGGCTGGGCACGACCGAGAGTCACTGGGTGTGCTGGCGTGCTGCTGGGCACGGTCGAGCACGAGGGACGCGGGAACTGGCGCGTACCCGGGTTGACTGGGCACTGGGCGTGCGGCTGGCACGACCCGAGTGCGACTGGCGCGAGAACGGACGTGGCCAGACACTACTCGCGCGGCTCGGGCGCGGCTAGGGCTGTCAGGGTGCTACCGGGCGACCCTGGGCACGCGGGCATGCTGCTGGGCACGTCCCGGGCTAACTGACTACTCGGGCGTGCTGCTGGGCACGTCCCGAGGCCTCTGGACCTGACTCGGGGTCACTACAGCACGGCACTGGACACTCGGGTGCGCTGCTGGCACGACCCGAGGTCGACTCCGCGTGGTACGAGCGACTGGCTCGGGATCACGCGTGCATGACACTGGGACAGCGCTGCCGGGCGCTGTCGGAGGTGCTCTGGCGCGACTGGCGCTGAGACCTCGCGGGCTGGCACGGACAGGCGCGGCTGGGCGCTGTCACGTGCACTGGGGACTGCGGTGCCTCGCGAGCGCTAGGCGCGGGCACGGACAGGGGCACTGCCTGGCCCCTGCGACGCGGCACGGGCACGGCACGCGCGACTGGCGCGGCTGGTGACCCTAGCCGGTCCTTTGCCAAACTTCCGACAACTTTGCCGGGGACTACTGAACCAAATCAACCTAATATGACATAAAATGCTCAAAAATGCCAAAAGTCACTGAGGGACCTCGGTTGGATTTGGTGGTGGGCTTATAGGGCCGATTAGGCACGAGGCCACCCTAGGGCACAAAAATGAACATGCTCAACATGAAAATTGACCTAGGGCCGAATGATATACATCAAAAATCATGGCTAATGAGGCTAGAACATTGGTCAATACATGCATGCACATATACTTAGGTTCGGGGGTGAAAATGGCTCGATTTCACTTAACAAATTGACCGAACAAATGAACTCAAAGCATGAAACTGTTTTAACCATGTCATACTCATGATTTTTGAGGATTTTTAAGATACTAATCTCGGCCATATCATGCATGTACGTAAACTTATGAATTTAGGGCTTATATGATCAAAAATTCATATCTCCTTATATCTCACATGCATGGCATCATTTCTACACATGATAATTCTTATTTTATCATGATTAAGCTAGGAAAAATAGAAGTCACGAGCTAACCTTGCTCGAACTCGCGAATGGTGCCAAAGGACTTTGCTCGGGGATCTCGCGGCCCTAGGAACTTGGTCTCGGCTAGGAGGCTTAAATGGCTGGAGGAGTACACTCTGGACACTTAGAAAAATCCAAATAACCTTTGGAAAATGCTAAGCCTCGAGAGGTATGGCTGGAAACAAAATGGACACGAGTTCTCCTCTTCCCCGGGGCACACGCGCGCGCACAAGGGCTGGGCCTTAGCTCTCGGTTTCCTCAAGGATTGCTCGAGCTTTTAAGTGGCAAATGAGTTCAAAATGTCTGAGGAATAGGTCTTAAATAGTGGAGAGGGGCGGAGCTCTCAAAGTCCAAAGATAGGGAACAAAATGGGGGACATAAGCCTTTCCCATGCACATAGGAGTTAGGGTGGCCTTGGACTGAAATGGCACGGATTCCTGGAGCATATGCAGGGCATCTTGGATTAAATAAGTGCCTTGGACAGGCCTTGGTCGGCTGGAGCACAAGGGGACAAGGTTCCCATCATAAATAATTGCACATGGCCCCTCCACTCACAATTAAATAATCCCTAATGCCCATGTGACATCCTTAATCCTTTCTTAGGGAGAATTAAGCTGGATTAATCCCTAATTAACCCCTTAATATTCGCATGAGGTTGGGCCCTGGAGAAGTGGGCCGAAAAACTCCACATTGGGCTCGAGAAGTGGGCTGGTGCGCTGCCAGCGCTGGGCCTGGGCGCTGCTGGGCCCTGGGCGCGAGCTGGGCGCGAGCTGGGCGCGAGCTGGGCGCGGGGAACTGCTGTCCTGGGCTGCGCGCGAGAATTACTTGGCCCAAGTAATATCCCCATGCTAGGCTGAACTTAAGTGTTCAAAACACTTAGAAAAATCTTAGGAAAAACATGGCCAAGGCTTGGGCTCATGCAAGGACACGCGCGAGGGATTAAGGCGCGGGTACTCGGGCGCGACATTGGCTCGGGCTCGGTATACACTTGGACCGAGGCTAACCCTTGCCTATGGCTGAAAAATGGCCACACTTAGGTGCCACCAGACTTAAGAAAATCCCCTTAATACTTGGTCATGACTTGGTGCGGACTCGGCACGACTTTGGCCCGAACTCGCGAACCCTAGGCGCGAGTGATCTCGGGGCCACGCACGAACTAGGTGCGGTATACTAGACCGAGGGAATAACATCCAAGGCTTGACAAACATGATCTCATACTTAGAAAATATTCTAAGTAAGGCTATGCGCATGGCTAGGGCTCGAACAAGACTCGAGACAACTAGGGCTCGAGAATTGGCTAGGCGCGATACTCGCGACCGAACGACTCGGTTCTGGGCACGGCTGGACTTAGACGATTTATCGAAACATACTCGGTTCCGATTATTCGTCAACTGGAATAATTAATTCCGACTGAAATACAACCCATTTCTAAAATAAGAAAAATGGACCGGAATTAATAACTGAGATTGAATAGCTGATAACTGGGCTCAGAACTCAAGACGAGCAGTATTAATAAAAAGAAATAGTTCAACTGGGAACTAAAAACTGTCATTTTATTAATACAGAACTGGGCTATTACATTCTTACCATGGGAAAGGGCACTTATAGCGATGGCTAATAAGCGACGATCTTGATGGTACCATACGAGGTTCTGAGTACGGGAAGAGGTGTTGTACGCCTCGAATTCTGGGAAGAGAGGAAGTATCAACCACATTTGTTGGTCCTTTTGGGGATTCTCGACCAAGCCGACGACTTAGCCTGACGGTTGACCCCATCACCGGAGCTTGCAAGAGTGCACGACCTATTCAGTACCTCGCGGAGAGGGGGACATGTGTGTGACTCTGGGCACATGGCGAACTTTGACGAGCTGCATGTGGGCAGAACCTTACCTTTGATAAGGTACCGGTGACCTACTGGATTGACGAATCCATCAGGACGAGTCCGGGAGAGGTACTCGTCAAAGTCCGGCGGGGTAACCATGGCTAGTGCGGTGTGACTTGGTATAGTGGGGAGATTCGGACCGAGTATCCGATTTTAGTAGTTTGAGCTTCTCTCTTGTGTCAGTTGTCCTGTTGGGATGATTTTTCTTGGATTTCCGGGGACGGAAATCGTTTAAGGAGGGTAGACTGTAATGTCCCGTTTATTTTTGGATTATTTGAGTTTTTTTATTGTTATTATTATTATTATTTATGGGATGATTATTATTTTTGTGAAATATTTATATTATATTATTTTTGAATGTCTTAATATTATTTGTCTAAATGTCTAAATGATTTTTATTATTATTTATAAATGTGTAAAATATGTATTAATATATACAGATAAATATATTTGTTGTTCAATTTATTTTATCGTACGTTTGAATCGAAGTTGGGCCCGAGAATAATCGCGTGAATCGTAATCGAGCCTGTAATTACTGCGCGAACCAAAAACTGGCCCAAAGCTCATGAAAGTCGGCCCAGCTGCTCCAAAATCCGGCCTAACAACTATCTTAACCTATTCATATACATATATATATATATATATATATATATTTGTTACAAAAATATATATAAAAAAAAGTATACTAATTAATAATGANAATCTGATTTTCTTTCCCGATCTCGTTTCCTTCTCTCTCTCGCTCAATCGTATACAGAGAAGAGAAACTCTTTGTTTTTTTTTCGTCACCCTCGTTCCTTCACTACCTTCTTCTTCCTGTCGCTGCCTGCAATCTCCGCGAGACACCACCAGGCGCGAGCTCCATCGCTGCTCCTCCGCAGCCGCCGGCAACCCTTCACAACCACGACCCACCTTGCGATGTTGCTCCTCCGCGAGCCCTTCTCAGTCCACGACCAACAGCAAGCCGGCGAGCCTCTGCCACTCCGGCGAACCAGCGATCACCGACGACCTCTCGCCTGCAACTTCCGGCGAACACGCGCAGCAACTCGACGAAGTCCTTGCACCGTTGACGACCTGCAGCAGCGAGTTCTCTTCCTCGCAGCAGCACGTCGTTGTGTCAAAGCCGCACGTCGAGCCTTCCCTTTCCGGCGAGCTTCAGCAAATTCCGGCGAGTCTCCTCCTCCGCAGCATCACTCTCGACAGGACGCCTCGGCCATCGCAGCAACCCCGCAATCGAGAAGGACCACCGCAGCTCTCTCCTCGGCGAGCCGCGCGAAGCCGTCGAGCCAGTCTTCTCTCGTTCGAACCTTTCTCGCTCGTTTCCCGAGAATGGTATCGAGTCTCGACTTCTCGTTTAATATTACGTGAATAATATTATGATCGGTTGTGCCTAGCGTGTTCGTTGAATTATTATATACGTGTTCGAATTGTTCGTTATGCAATATATTCGTTATTTTATGTAAAACTTGTCGATTCGTGCGAATCAAACGAGAACTCATCGTAAGTGAATAGTTGTTGTGGATTTAGGAACTTAGGATTTTTACGAACACATTGGCGCTGACCTTATGTCGATTGGACTTTTAAATTGGTAGCTATGATTTTTCGAAAGTTATAATTGCTGTTTGGAATGAAAAATTCATCATAAATTGAATACTGGTTAGATTGTGTTCAAATTTTAGGTGCAGCTGTTTTTGATGAATATGTAGCTTGTGTACAATTTTCATGATTTTTGAAGGTCTTGAGCTATTTTTAAAAATTAATTTGGTTTCTGTTCAGTTTATTATAAAATGCATAAATAATTTTGTGGTGCTCTAATTTGGCTGGTTTTCGAGTAGATATGTCTCTGGTATAATTATGAGTTGTATAAAGTTTTAGAATTTTTAGGCTAGGTTTGGTAGGGTTAATAATTTAATTGGTGTTCCTGCCCGAATTTGTTTTAATTGTGATAAATTGGTCAGAAGCTGAAAAATTTTGAATATTTGTGGAGGTTCTGATTATGTGATGTTTATCATGCTGTAAAATGTTTAGAATTTTCGGAGTTCAGTTATGTTTAGTTTTGATATAAATTTGATAATTGGCTGAATGTTGTTTTAATTTTATAAATTTATAAATTTAGTGTTAAGGGCTGATATTTTTATGTGTTGCTGTTAACATGCTAAAGTATTTTGGATAAAACTTTCATGGCCTGAATCGTTCATTATCATGTGTTTCTAATTTAAGCTCGTTTTTGTTGAGAAACTTGTATGAATTTTATAAAATTGAGTGTAATGAGTTTGGGGCTGAAAATCTTGGTTCTTTTTGCTAAATATTGGAAGTTAAATTTTATGTAAAATTTTCAGAGTCTAACTCGTAGATTTGATATACCTTCTAATTCAAGTGTAATTTTGGAAATTGTTTTTATATGGTGATTTCCGGTTAAGTGTTGTTGACCGAATTTGCTATGGGTTTACATGCGACTCGTTTGTTTGCCTTTCACTTGCAATTTTTTGAGCTTGAATATGTGGTTTGATCGAGTCTAAGTCCTAGTGTTCCCATATCCACAGAACTTCACGAACCACTTGGTCGAATCAAGTTCGGCTAAGTCAATTTGTGAATTTTCTACTTAGGTCTAGATTAAAGTGTTGACTTTAGTATCTGGACTTAATGTAGGTGACTAGAGGTGTTGACCTCGTCTTACTTTCGAGATTCGTGATTTGATCTGTTGCTGCATCCAGGTGGGTACATTTATGATGTATTCCATATTTATCGTATTTATTATTTCGTGTAATGTTTCTTTTGAAAATTATTGTATGCATGAGAACTCTAGTCTAAGTGTCCCGAACGATAGTGTCTTTGATGAATGCGAAAGCAGTGGAAGTCGCCTGCCCGTTGTATCCGGGAGGTGGACGCCCGAATCCGTGTAGAGCGGAGGGGATTGTCTGAATACTCGAATCCGTGTAGAGCGGAGGGGTAATTCAACTTCATTGTCTCCTGGAAAGGATCCTATATACCGTTGTATCCGGGGGTGGTAAGGTTTCCAGTTACAGCCATGCCGTTGTATCCGGAAGGTTGTTGTATGTACATAGGAGGTTTGCGATAGGGTCAGGTAGGGAGTTTAGGCTATGAATTCTATGCATACCGATATTGATATTGCACACTGCGATTACTCGTTTTTAAAATTATTATACGGAATAATTGTGCGATAATGGTGAGCTAGTTGGTTGCTCACCCCCATTATTTTCTTTGTTGTGTTCTCTCTTCCTTTGATTTAGGTTGAGACGAGCTGGAGGCGGTGGCGTAGGACAAGCGAGATGGTGGTCACTATTTGATGATGTCTTATGCTTCCGTTTGAAACTTATTGCTATTTATTTGCTTTCATATACTTTGGATTATTTCTTGCTTCCGCTTTTCGAATTACGTTTAAGTTTAGGTTGAACCTTGATTCATGCAAGACTTTGTGAAACGATTTTGAGACGTATGTTTATGGGATTGTTTATTTTGATAGCTCGAGCATGTGTAGGTTCTTTGAATTGTTGGATGTGTTTGTTTGCTGTTGATAGTGAGTAGCGTCCGTTTCTCGTTAAATGTTTTAATTCTGTTTTAAAAAAAAAAATCTGATTTTTATTAAATAAATTCGGTAAATCTTTAAAATAAAACGGGGCGCTACACACACGCCAGACACGCGCACACACACACACACACACACTGTACACATATTGTCTCTCACGCGCACATACTACTCATTACTCACACACAGTGTTTTAAATACCGTACCAGTGGTTATACCGATCTAACCACCGGTACACGGTATTGTCGGTCGGACCGGTAATATTGGTGGTATTACTGGACTAGCAAATATAATAATATATATAAATATACATAAAAATATATAATAATAAATACAAAAAAGTACAAAAAATAAATGAACATAATCATTAATTTTAAATTCTCAATGAAATAAAAATAAAATATTCTAACTACCAATTTGAATTTTATGTTTTAAAATTAATAAATTTTATTTATTTATTTATTTTTTATTTGTTAACCGGCATTTTCCGGTATTCACTGTATGATCCCGATACAAATCGTTTTAACAGTAAATACAGTATTTTGTGTGTAATTGTATCGTATCAATGGCGGGTATCCATTACCAGCCGGTATGGTACGATATTTTAATCACTGCTCACACAGACACACACACTATTCACACACACGCACGGCTGAGACCACTCCCGACCTCGCCGCCAGCCGCTAGCCACTACCGTAGACATCCTGCCACCGGTCATAATGGTTATATTTGCTTTTGTTAGACATCTTTTGTAGAACTTTGATGAAACGTAGCCATTTTGGAACTTGATGGTATGTACTTATTTTGAAGTTTATGTAGCTAAGATATCTTGATGATATGTTTATGGTTTATGGGCAGTAGAAGTGATTTGGTGAACTATGGAAATTTATATTAATGAAGCCCCATTTATGAATACCAAGTTTGAGCTCTTGTCATTGTAGAAAGGACGCTATAAGGAGGGGTTCATTGCAAAAATGAACAGGAGTTTTAATGACGGCTTGAGAAGTTTGAATGAACATGGGGCAATAAATTTGTATTGAACAAACAAAAGCATCCAATATATATATATATATTTTTTTTTTCGGAATAAAGGGAATTAAGTCCAATATAAACCGAAAACACCCAAAACAAACCGCATGAACTAAGAGACACACAAGCGTGGTCTAGATAAACCCAAATACAACAACCAAGTAACCACAGGCAGCTGACATTGCTGAAGTCCTATAATTACAACTCAAAACAAAGCATAATAACAAAACACTATCAAAACTAGTACAAGAAAATTAGCCAGACACAGATTTGCACTCCAGCCAGTCCTTCACTGCTTGATGCACAATAATCTACTCCCGCATCCATTGGTTTTGGGTCTGATTTTGAAAGACCCACAAGTTATGTGACTTCCACAGCAACCATAGCGAGTAGGTGGAAAGTTGTATGCTTCATTGATCTCTTTATGGCTCAACCTACATATATGGATTTATTTCCTTAAAAAAAAAAAAACAAAAAATAAACTGGACAAAAAAGAAAGAAAAAAAAATCTAGTGGACCAAAATAGAAAGCCCGTATTCATTGAATACATTTTCTTTTATAAACCGTATTTAGCAAATACGGTTTCAATTATAAAACGTATTTAGTCAATACGTTTTTCGTAAACAAAAATTATTAAAGTTAATTATCGTAATCAACGTCATTAACCTATAGCAAAACGTATTTGCTGAATACGTTTTATATTCAAAAACTACAATACGTATTAAATAAATACGTTTTTATATTAAAATTAATTTAATATTATTTTTTTAATCATAAAACGTATTTAAGAAATGCGTTTTATAAATAAAATCAATTTTCTCATTTCGCGAAAATAATTTTTTTGGGATAAAAAGTTTTAGAATATAAAACGTATTTGCTAAATACGTTTTACTTTGTAATTTTGCCCCAAATTGATTTTACTTTGCCCTAATTTTAATTTCAACACAAAACGTATTTACGAAATACGTTTTTCGTATTAAAAAAAATAGAAAACGTATTAATCAAATACGTTTTTATACAAAATCCTGTACACTATCAAATGCACCTGTTTACAACCAAAAAATACACCTGTTCACAACAAAAAATATACCTGCTCACAACCAAATCCATCATACCATAATTTGCCGAACAAAAAATTGAAACACAATAATTTGCCGAACAAACAATATATACAAAACGATATAATTCGGTTTATACAGACAATCCAACAATTCAAAATAAACACAAAATCTACAAATTCAACACAACTAACTAGGAAGGAGTGAATGGTTGTGTAGGTTTGCGCGGTCTGGACCCCCTCCGAGTATATACCACGTGAGAAGAAGACGAAGGTTGAGGTGTGAGAAGCGTGTCAGTTTGAAAAGCCTGCTCATCCTCCTCTTCTTCATCTGAGTAATTCAATTGAAACAAGAAATTATAAATTGAACTATAAAAAAAAAATGCTAATTTAAAAATCTCACCTTGTTGAGGCTCGGGCTGCTCAGGTTGGAGGTGCTGGGCGGACGGCTGAGCGCGGGGACGGGCCCGAGCTCTTCTACCCCCACCAATGTTGGGGGCGGGTTGATGCCTGGCCGTGTGTGACTGTGTCCTCATGGGGGGAACGTATTCGTCCTGGGAGAAAACTTGACTAGACAGCCCCCCATGTGGAACACCCTGGCCCCCAACAGTCATAGAAGAGTAGGCAAAGTTGTACGACTGTTGGAAGCCGGTCTGCGCTTCTGGAGGGATTTGAGGCATTAATGGTTGAATGTCGGATAATGCGCCATAAACCCCTTGTAGTGCAGAAGTCTGTAAATAAAATTCATAATAATTAATACGAAACGCAAAAAAAAAA